AAAAACGCATTCGTGTCTTGCAAATTCTTCTCCCGACGTGAAATATAAAAGAAAATAACAAATATAAAATCGCCTACAACTTAAATGTCACTGGTGAAAACAACCTGCATAGACTCATGATGTCTGCACTACTGTCCTATAGTGACCTGCCACATGAGGGGACGCGCACACAAACACACACAAACACACACAAACACAAACACACACAAACAAACACACACCTTCATCATCGTTATTAGCCTGAGAACGCGCGGACCACGTTTCCTTCCATAGACACTGCGCGGACACCGACGTGCGCCGCGTGTGGACCGTGTTTTCTCGCGTACGCTGCGTAAACCGCGCTTCCTCCTGTGCGCCTCTAAACCAGAACTAACACCAAGACTAAAACCAGGACTAACCCAGTCCAGGACTAAACCAGAACTAAAACCAGGTCTGAACCAGGTCTAAACCAGGACTAAACCAGAACTAAAACCAGGTCTAAACCCGGACTAAACCAGGTCTAAACCAGGACTAAACCAGGACTAAACCAGGTCTAAACCAGGACTAAACCTGGACTAAACCAGAACTAAAACCAGAACTAAAACCAGGTCTAAACCAGGACTAAACCAGAAGTAAAACCTGGTCTAAACCAGGTCTAAACAAGAACTAACACCAGGACTAAAACCAGGATTAATCCATTCCAGGACTAAACTAGGACTAAAGTAGGTCTAAACCAGGACTAAAACCAGTGATCTCATATATAAAGCATTTCTCTATCAATAATATTTTTAATATGGTTAAGGAAAGATTGGACTTTTTATTGTCTTTAAGTAGACAAAAGTTATTATGTTCAGATTTCCTCGTCTTTGCTACTTTACAGCAAACAGTTTCTTATTCATGGAGACTTGGGCTCAACAGCCAATTTGGAGAGATTTGTTAAACAATAAATGACTTTATAAAGTCACTTTTTTAATCTATATCAGTCTTTTGATCTGCCACAATAATGTAATAATGAATTTAAATGAAAATACCTCAAATTGAAGCTTTTCTCAGCCATTTTTAGGTGAGATTAAAATGAGATTAATTAGATTAATTAATTACAGATCATAATTAATTAATCTCTCAATTTTTTTTATCGCATGACAGCACTAATATATATATATATCCGAATTAAAGTCAAATAAAAATGAAACACATTTTCCTGACACACAGGGCCCCACACCACCTGCGTCTGAAACGTTCTGTGTTTGTTAATAGTCCTGCTCTAAATATGAAGTTAACCAGCTCTGATGTCACACTCACATTTTCCTGAGAAACCAGGTCCCAATTATTAATTATTAAATCTCAATTTAACACACCACCTATGTGCCCCTCCCCCACACAATGTGCTCACTGAGCAAAATGAACAGGCTAATTCTTAAAATCTAACTTTTTTTATTTATTTATTTCATCTTTTAAAGATCTGACCTAATTTAATGTATTTACTAACTGAAATGAGAAAGCTTTGATAAAAACATAAGTGAATTTTTAAAAAATTAAGAAACACATTTTCCTGACACACAGGGCCCCACAAAACCTATGCCCATCCCCCACTCCACTTGCTCTCAAGGTGGTTACACACTCAACTAATTCTAAGAATATTTTTAAGCTTTTTAATTTTTACATTTTTAACATCTGAAAGCATTTATTTTCTAAGCATGCTCCAATGAGAAAATATTAGCGTTAAATAAATCATTTAAAATTAAAAACAAACATGCCCCTCCCCCACCCTCATGGAGAGTTCAAGTGCACTGTGCCCTTACACTGTCAGTGTGCAGAGCACCCAGAACACTTGACCCAGAACACCCGACTCAGAACACTCCACCCAAAACACTCCACCCAGAACACTCCACCCAAAGCTCATGGCGAAGCACTGGCCGGAGGATTCACAAATGATTCTGAGGTAAGTACATCAGTTGCTTTAGCTGCCATCTTTTATTTGGTGTTTTGCTGTATTTACATTTTCTGTAATCTTTAGCTAGTGCTAAATATATTAGCATGTTGTTAGCTTGTTGTTAGCTTGTTGTTAGCTTGTTGTCACAGTCATTTATTAAAGGTGCTACTGCTAATTAGCTTAGCTTGTTGTGGCATGGTACTTTTTATTCTTTAGAGTTGATTTTTCTAATGAGGCCCATTAGGCATTAACACAGGTTTTTTTTTTAACTTTATATTGTAATGAAAAAAGCAGAGGAAGAGCAGTGAGGCTTTAAAAACGTCTCAGACTCTAGACTTTATGTGGAGCTAAAAGAGACTTTATGTGGAGCTAAAAACAATAAGAGCATTAGTGTTTTTTGGTAACTATTTGCTTATATAAATAGTAAATTCATGTTTGTAGTTGTTTTTGACACTAGATCTCCTTTTAATGTGTTACATGTGCTACTGAGAGTCAGTCCACAGAAATGACATACATGCAGTACACTCAGACTTCAGACAATAGTTTGTAATGTGCAGATGAATCATGTGTTATTTTTCTGTTATGGACACCAGTTTGAAGACTTTACACCATTGAAAATATACAACATTTAATTGTGATTTCTACAGCACCAGAAGCACAGAATTATAGTATTATAAAATATGTTTTAAAATGTGTATTAGACTTTAAAATAAAAAGATGTTACATATAGTGGTCGAATGGAGCGTCTGAGGAGATGTCATAATCAGAGTTTATCAAAGCACATGGAGTGGATGAAGAACCTGGCACAGGTAACTTTCTCCAAACATTCTCAACCAGGACTAAAATATGGACTGAACCAAGACCAGGACTAAACCAGTACTAATGTAAAGCAGGACACGGCAGAGGCTTATGTCCCGAATCCCTTGTGTAATTACGACAAAAATAGAACATAGGTGCCTCAAAAACTTCACATTTCATTTTAATTATTATCACTGTGTTTTACTCACTCTGTTTGTCTTTCAATGATAAATGACTCACATATAAATCCAAAATACAAACTGAAAATGCCGAAATCCGGAGTCCTTTTCCTCTTTAGACGTCCACAGACTGTAAATGAAATCACTCGGCTCCAGTCAAATGAAGCTCATCGACGCCAAGAGTTAAAGGGGAGAATTCAGAGCTGCATTTTAGGAATTGATTTACAGACAAAACAGCAAAATGAAAAACCCGGGATCATGTAGACTGGATTAATACGAACATTTTAAGACCAGAACAATGAGGCTCGCAGCAGCAGTTACGGCCGACACACACTACAGGATGTTGAACCATTTTTAAACGTGCGACAGAAAGTGAACACCACAGACATGAGGAGAATCTTACGAGACTTTAAATCCCCGATCGCAAAGACTGAAGTGGGATCTGTGTGCAGACCTTTGTGTCACCTGTTTCCTGTCTACAGTAAAACCACTCACTTTGAGACTCTTCAGTGTTCAAAGATCAGACTCTGCACTTCTAGTTCACATACAAAACAAAACTGGGTTATTATTATTATTTGTGAATTCAATTTATTTCAAACACCAGGACTTTTCTGAAAATGAACAGGTCAGACTGTGATGTGAGAAAAGCTCCAACATCCTGGACAGGGAGACTTCACGTGTGGATCCATCAACATATAAAAGAGTGATTTTGTTTACTACAGTGAGACCCCGCCCCTTTACCTGAGCAGTGAGGCTCCGCGCCTTTACCTGAGCAGCGAGACCCCGCCCCTTTACCTGAGCAGCTAGGCCCCGCCCCTTTACCTGAGCAGCGAGGCCCCGCCCCTTTACCTGAGCAGTGAGGCCCCGTGCCTTTACCTGAGCAGCGAGACCCCGCCCCCTTACCTGAGCAGCGAGGCCCCGCCCCTTTACCTGAGCAGTGAGGCCCCGCCCCTTTACCTGAGCAGTGAGGCCCTGCCCCTTTACCTGAGTATTTTCTGTGTAACTTTCCTTGAATAAGCAAAAAACAATGAAGTCGTGCAAATGTGTTGGTGACGTTTCAACTGCTGCTTTCACAAACGCTCTGATGTCGAGCGGTTGTCCTGTCTTCTCCCTCTCACCAGGAGGTTGTGGGTTAGACTCCTGATCTCTGTGAGTGGACTGTGCATTTGCACCAATCTAGAAGGAGAACTGTCTAAGCTCCTTCCCTTCTGTCCCAGGTGAGATCGACTAGTTTTGTTAATTATAAAAAACAACATTAAATGTTCAACATGTGAAAGCTTCCACAAGAGCAGACCACCTCTCTGTTGCCACGGTTTCCATCTAATATTAATACAGATGGAAAAGTACATCGTAATCACCGTAATCACCAAAACAATCTAATATAGTTTTGGAGCCTGAGAAGCTGTCGCCGTAGCAAAGTGATGTTCTAATGTCGCCCTGGACCTCCATGGTGATAGATCTCTGATTTATGACATCATTAGAGCAGCACGACGCTGGTTTGAAGTAAACTGTGTGACACAGCGAAATAAACACTACAGTGACAGAATACTTTTACTACTGCTACTTCAAAGCAGCTCTCTGCTTTGTGACATCATCAGTAAAGGACCGATGGCGCTTATTGTCATGGCAGCTGCGCTTCTGTCAGTGTGCCCCAGGGCAGCTGTGGCTACAACCATAGTTTACTATCACCAGGTGTAGAGTGAATGAATAATGCTGAATAATGAATCTGTAAAACATCTTTGTGACAAAAATATCCATGAAAAGCGCTGTCTCTATTTAGACGCGCCGATATTACAACATGTTTTATATTTGTGACTATAAAATAAATAAACTATTCTATTAAAATATTTAGAAGAGTTTGCGTCGCTCCGTTTCCCTCCGGAGGTCGAGGTCAAGTTGTTAAGAAGTGACACGAGGATGAAGAATTGAAGTGATTTAGTGATTTGGAGTGAGATGGATAGTTTGGGTAAACTTGTTCTGTTTATAGTTTATCTGAAGAACTGTGAAATATGTGACGTTAGGGTTAGAGGTGTGTGTGTGTGCGTGCGTGCGTGTAGGCGTGTGCGCGCGTGTGTGTGTGTAGGTGTGTGGGTGTGTGTGTGTGTGTGCACCTGACACCCCCAGGTCCCCCAGCACAGCCTTCTTGCGGCCCTTGACGCTGCTGATCTGAGGGAAGCGCACGTCCAGCAGCAGGAGTCCAGAGCAGCTGAGGAGGCACAGGCAGCCCATGAAGACAGCGTAGGAGCAGGCATTAGCGTTCTGGTTGAAGATGCAGTACTCCTCCTCCTCTGTGGGACGGTTTATGTATCCCTCATTAACAATGCAGCCAAAGATCACCACCGAGAACAGCTGAGACACACACACACCAGCATTAGCACTAGCACAGAGGAGGGTGAAGGATCTGAAATCAGACTATATCAGAACAAGAGGTAAAGGCGTGATTCATGAAATAGGCAGTGTTGGGAAGGTGACTTTTAAAATGTATTCCCCTACAGATTACAGATTACATACCCCAAAATATAGTTTGTAACGGAATCCATTAAATTACTTAATGTGAGTAATGTAATCTGAATACTTTGGATTACTTGATACTGTCATGCTTTTTAAAACTACATAAATGTAACAACCACATCCTGAGAATTCATGTTTATTCTCTTCAAATTGTCTGTTGAGCCCAAGTCTCCATGAACAGACTTTTGTTTTACTGTCGGGAGAAGCAAAGACCAGGAAATCTTAACATGAGATATTTGTTTTCTCTGCTAAAAGACAATAAAAAGTCCAGTCTTTACTTAAGCACATAAAAAATATTATTGATAGAGAAATGATTTCTATATGAGATCACTGCTGCCTTAAATTATGTCCACTCTACTGTTAGGTGTCATATTGTCTAGACCAGGTTTAGTCCTCCTTTTAGACCTGGTTCAGTCCTGGCTTAGTCCTGGCTTAGTCCTGGTTTAGTCCTGGTTTTAGTCCTGGTTTTAGTCCTGGTTTAGTCCTGGGATTAGTCCTGGTTTAGTCCTGGTTTAGTCCTGGGTTTAGTCCTGGGATTAGTCCTGGTTTAGTCCTGGTTTAGTACTGGGTTTAGTCCTGGTTTAGTCCTCCTGGGTTTAGTCCTGGTTTAGTCCTGTTTTAGTCCTGGTTTAGTCCTGGGTTTAGTCCTGGTTTAGTCCTGTGTTTAGTCCTGGTTTTAGTCCTGGTTTAGTCCTGGTTTAGTCCTGGTTTAGTCCTGTTTTAGTCCTGGTTTAGTCTTGGTTTTAGTCCTGGTTTAGTCCTGGTTTTAGTCCTGGTTTAGCCCAAAATGTGAAAACAGGAAAATACCACTGTGTAATCCATTTATTTCAACAAAGTAACTGTAATCCAATTACCACTCACTGAAACAGTAACTGGAACTAAATACAGTTACTCATAAATTGTATTCTGATTACGTAATCCCAGTACATGTAATCTGTTAGTCCCCAACACTGGAAATAGGTGAGAGAGTAAAAAGTAAGTAAGAGTAAAATTTAACTTAACGTAACTGTCAGGATTTAACATTTGATTTTTAATTTGAAGTGGAATTTGAAGGACAAGAAATAACGTGGGGTGACTGGATTTTCAAATGTGGTGGTTGGTAATAATACAAGTGTGAAACTAGTGTGTAGTTATAATTATGAAAAATTGTTATGTACTCTGCACTAATGTGAGTCAGTATAGTCACATTTTCTCTGTGTTTTTTTTGTGTGTGTGATTTTTAATCAGTTTTTTTCTGTATTTTACAAACAAATTACAGTTTATGTCTCTTTACTGTTGGCAGGGATCAGATTGATCAAAAATAGGGACACCAGAGACATTTCTTGTATAAAACTGGGACAAATGGTTTTGTATCAGTCTGGGCTCTACACTGGGACTGTGCTCGGTAAATAAGGATGTCTGGTCACCCTTTACATATGTCAAAAAATATATTTTCAGTAAAAGTATGGTGCGGGAAAAGTACTGTGAAAAGTACAATTTCTTTAAAAACTTACTCAAGTAAATGTAACTGAGTACCCACCCCTGCTAGATACTCATTTGAACAAATTACACAATATATATCACAAACAGCATCACATTTGGCCTTTCTTGAACAGTTTTAGAATGACCTTATAGGCACTCTATCTTAAAACATGAAAACTAGCTAACAGTCCACGTCCTGATTCTCAAACAATAAAACGTTTTATAATCAGATGCAGACATACATAGCGGCCTTATTTTGACCTCAGGGGCTGATTATACAATAAATCTGTTCTGGGGAAAAAGGGGTACAAGCCCTTCAAGTTTTATCAGATCTAATATAACATCACACAGTAAAACAAGGACTTCACATTTTTATATATTTGAAAAAACACATTCTACTGTCCAAAAAATGGAAAACAGAATGTGTCTTAGTATCAAAATGGAGTTTAAATGATGTAGCGGTGTTTAGAGGGAAAAGTGTTCAGCAAAATAACTGGTAAAAAGAAAAAAGAAAAAAAAAGTTTGGGTTAATTGAGAATAGGCCAAATTACATTCTGTCAAAGGTCAACCGATGTATGAATGATGAAAAATTAGGACCGTTGCCATAGTGATGAATAATTTAAAACAAAATATTATATCTGAAACATGACTAGAGATGGCTTCATTGAAATATTGTTGAAAAGCATCAGCTGTGTCAATGATATAAATCTATATATCCATGATGTACTGTAAATCAAACAGCCCGTTAATAAACATACAGATGTTTGGGATGTAGTGGGATTGTAGAAGAGTTCTGAACGAGGATTACTGTGGAACTGCTGTCATCTGGGATTTACTTAGTACCACAAAAGACCTGTAGATGGCGCCATTCTCCTTACGTTTACTGTGTTTTGTTTGTATATTTTGAAGGAAAATGTGCTAAAAAATATTAGGAAGTGGACTGATGAAAAGTGTACTTATGGGTAAACGCTGACGTTAAGAGTGTGCTGAATAATCGGACCTTTCACCCTCAAACTGCCCATGCTCCAGCATGCGCCTGGACTGGAAGAAAATGAATCAGAATACAGCAGAATAGAATAGAACCACAGACTGTGTAAGCCTAAATGAACGGAGCACATATCCAGTCTTACTATCATAATATGATCATATTATCAGTAGAACTATGTGCCTGTTTAGTTCCTCAAGTGACTCCAAACCTGATAAAAATTCTACATTATGTTTTTACTGGTTTAGATAAAGCGGTGACAGCTCAAATAAAGACTCACATCATACGTCCGTGTACGTCCGAGCTTGTTGAGCGAGTGGAATCAACTCTAAATCAATCTAAACATGGTGTTTACATTGAGCACACTGTGCAGTGTACTGGCACCATCTTGTGGTGAAACGGCGTACAGGTCCAGATTACGCCTACATCCGATCTGTGATGATGGCCATACCAATGGCACCAAACGGGCTACAGCCCGTGTCCACATGCTACAGTGATACAAACACTTATTCACGCTTGGTTCTTTGTCCGGGGCTGCGCGGACACTCACCCAGTTGACGATGCGCAGAATGGCGTACGGCTGCTGGAAGAAGGTGACGGGGTCGAAGGCTCCTCCTGCCTTCCCAGCTCCATAAGCCTGCAGCCCGTCCATGAATGCTCCGGCCGGGCCTGCTTTGCTGCTGCACCGGGGACCAGAGCTCCGCGCGTCTATGTGCTCCTGTAGCGGACTCGAGAGGCGCAGGGCCGGCCGTCAGCGCTGTCGTGATTCAAGGTGATTCTCTGGAGTGGACAGCGCTCTGAGCCGGTGCAGACACGTGACCGCGGCTCTCAAGTCACGCGCACCGTGTCCGCGCTTCACGGAGGGTCTCACTGAGTGCGCCCGAGCGTGACAATCAGATCTGTGATCAGCTAATCAGAAGAATGCGACTCGAACGCACCAGGTCTCATCTTCCATCTTACTTCGTTTATTTAGTCTTTTGTATGTCGCAACAGCTAGCGCACAGTGCGCGCACACACCTGTGGCGTCCAAACCACTAAAGTGTCGAAATTCTAGCCTGAACAATAGTAAACACAGTGAGCTCTGGTTAATTCTGTGCAGTACTAATGAACGGACCAATAACTGGCGCTGTTACATGTGTGTACCTACTCAGTTCACTGACCAATCAGGGGGCGCGTTGCTGAGTCTGGCTGTGTCGTTGCCTGGTCACCAAAGCGCTGCTCAGACACAGCAGCAGCGTGCAGATAACCGCACCAACCGAGGACAGAGGAAGAGCGTTCATATGGTCCACCGAGCGTGTTCTTTACGTGAAGAATCTGAAATGGTGAAGCTGCGGACGAGATGTCTGCTTATGGGTACGAGCTCAGCAGTACACCGTGGTAACACACGCGCAATACGCCCGACGAAGCCTTTAAGTCAAAATATAGAAAGACCATTATTCGACCATGACCACGGGAAAAGTGTTGAGAGGAAGAGGAGGAACAGAAGAAGATTGTAATTTTTTGTCATTGATTCTGGCTCTCTTACCTGCACTGTTATTGTGTCATCGGGCAAGACCCAGTACACTTCCACTATGGACGTCGTGTTTGCTTCTCCAACGGGTGAAAGGAAAGATGCCACTGGTGCAGGGCAGCCGAGGCTTCAGGTGCACATGAGGAAGTGTTAGATGCTTCAGACTGTGTGAGGTTGTTGCTTTGTCTTGCAGGAGATGCGGCTGTGGGGAAGAGCTCTCTGTGCCACATCTTCCACAGTGAAGGGGTCCAGTTCCAGAGGAGCTACAACATGGTGAGAGCTGCTCCCCCTCCTCCTCTCCTCCTCTTCCTCGACATCCTCTCGTCTTCTCCTACCTTCTCCTCCTTCTCTCCTACCCTCTTTCTCCTGCAGCATGTTGGTTTCCACATGTATGAAGTTGTCCATGTGCTCTGTTTGCAGACGGCTGGAGTGGAGCTGGTCACTAAATGTGTCACTATCCCAGAGAGTGGACACAGTGTGGTGAGTCTCTCCACACAACAGGCCCATTCACACACACGTACACACAGAGCGTCTTGGTCGTTTTGCGAGGGATCAGGATTTTACTTTGATGACACTCGACATACAAAATGTTCTCTGCAAACTCGGGATGATTTAGGCTGCCAAATATTTCCTTTTTGGTTCTTCCTGTGGATCAGTCCTGCCCATCACCTTTACCTTTCACTATTTTTCAATTCCGTTGGGAAGAGAAACAGTTTGAAAAGAGGTTTGCAGTCACACACATCTGATTAACTTTTGCATTTATGGAGTTCGCAAACAAATTTCTCGAGCCGTTTTCCGCTGTTAAGATCCAACAACCACACAATTAACGATGTCCGAATCCCAAAACTAAAAGATGACAATATCAGAACCAGAAACAAAAGTGATATGGTTCAAAAGACCCCCCCCCCCTAATTTTCAATTCTATTGACAATCCTTGTTCTCACATGACCCTACTGTGGCAAAATGCAGATGAATTCCCGGGTGAGGCTGTATGTGTCTGAGCCAATGTGTGGGTGCAGAAGTGTATATGTGTGTGTGCCTACTGTGTCTTCAGGAGCTGTACCTGGTCGACTGTCCTGGGAAGGATCTGCTGGCAGAGGCCTGTGAGAAGATGGTGAGAGGAGCCTCCCCCTGAGCCAGTGCTGCCCTGTTCTGTCTTTACTTTTAGATTATGATTTGTCACCTCTATCTCCGTAACTGCTGCAGTCAGGCTCATTTGGTCTTAAAATGTTCGTATTAACCCATTGTACATGATCATGGTGTTTGCATTTCACTGTTTTGACCTCGGCTCCATATTCGCCCCATAACTGCTAGTGTCGGTGAGCTTCATTTGGCTGGCGACTTCTTTATACAGTCTACAATTCAGGCACAGTAAAGAGGTGCTGCAGATGGTACTACACTGCCACCTTGTGTTCTCCAGGGTCTATGTCTAAATATATCCAGACCTACACTGAAAAAAAGGTCACTGGATTTGCATAAAAAGTTCTAGAAAGTGGTCGCATGCAATGAAATTCTGTTTAGGCTTTGAAACTTATTTTGATCCCCTCTACACATATTTTTCTCAGAACATGAACGTCACTTTTTCATGTTGATGAAATTTGATCAAATCATGCTGAATATGCATATTTATCATGAAATGTATAAATATGTATCATTGAATTTAACTGATCTAATTCTGTCTTTAGTTTTCCACAGTTGTGTTTTGTCTTAAACAGAATCAAACACACAGAGCACAGGGACAGAGACACACAGTCTGCAGCTGGACAGTGTGAAGATTTATTCCAGTGAAGAAGCTCTGGTCTCTTTGGACACAGGAATAACACATGATGATCACATTCTGATCATCTACTCTGATGTACATGTTTAAATACACTTAAAGTACTTATTACTACAATAATGGACCAGAACAGAAGAACATGAACATCAGAACTGTATCTGCAGAAACAAAACTCACCATGAGCTGCTTTTCTTCCTCTAATCACAGTAACAGGGAGGGCATCTGGTATAAAGTCCTCTAGTGCCACATCATCCTGTAGAAACACGATAACTGTTTCAGTAGGAAGTACATTTTGAAAAAAAAATCTTTTATAATCATGTTAGTTGGTTTACTTACTTTGTTCACCTGTGCTCTGTGTTTTGTTGGTTCTCAGGGTGAAAAAATGCATAGCACACTCAGTTGGCCGATGTCCAAATACTTTTTTATTAACAAAATAACGTTTTGGCAAAAAAAGCCTTCATCAGATATTTTTCTTGTCTTGGACCATAGCACACAAAATGGTTGCCAGCCCAGGTGCCCATATACCCCCTGGTGGTTCTCAAACATCTTCCTTTTTTCTGAAATATACAGAGATTTTTTTAGCCTTTTTATTTTAATTGTTAACCTCACTTTCAAAATGGTGCAAAAAACCCTAGTGCATTTTTGAGTCGTTTGGGGGCACTGATGAGCCATTTTATTTATGTTTGGAAAATGGAAATAGCCAAAACGTAGAGAAGCGCAAGTTTTACCAGATGGTAAAATTTCAGGACTTTTCGTCATTGTTCAGTGGGTGAAAAATGGGTGAGTTGGTTAGGAAAAAAACAAAAGAAAGAAATATAGCTGCAAGCGGCAATGATCGACCCTCGCGTGTGCCTACACTGTGTCCCGCAAACGCCACGCCCACTAACACATGCCCTAGCCCTAACTCTTAACCTAACATAACCTAACCTAACTATTCTATTCAAATCATCTAGGGGGCGCTATTGCACCCATTTTTGTATTTTCTTACATCAGTCTGTTTAGGGTCGGGGTGTGAACCCACGATTAAAATTTAAGTGAAATTGGCCAAAGTTTGTGTGATTTGTCAATTTTACCAATGGAATAACATGGAGCGTTTATGTCATTACTTTGGCAATAGCGTAAAAAATATGATATGGCGAGGGTCCGTGGTCACTATGGGTGAGTCACGTCACGCCATTCTATTTTCCGGCCACTAGGAGCATTGCTTTGCGATACTAATAGGCCTTTCACCAGCTTCTGGTGCTCGGGCCTAATAAGTCAGTTAATGAACTCAAAAACAAAAACAACTAAAGGACAGCAGTGACAATGACTGTAACTGTAAAAACAAAAAGACAAAATGACAAAAAACACTTAAACAGGCTGGATACATTTTAATAAACTTTAAAACATTTAAAAATGCAGCTACCTGTGTGTCATGAGCCCCACACACAGTTCCCCCATCACACAGCTCAGCTTTTAAAAACAGCAGGACCGTCCTATCACAACAAGTTATTAAAAAATGCACATTCTCATTCTTGTTTCCTCATCACAAACATACGTAGAGTTGTGTTTCATTTACAAACATTTAACACACAAATCCTGCACGTGTGGCAATAGGCTGTGTTCTTCTTTCAAACAGAAAACACTCTGTTCCACCTTGTGATGTCATGTGCCAATCTCTACTAAACAAAAGGTTAAAGAGCTGTTAAACTGAAAACTAACGCTTCATCAGTAGGTAGAAGAGAGTATTTAGAACTCTGGAGATGTGGACAGACTAATTCAATTCAATTCAATCTTTATTAAGAACACATGATATCTGGTTCATAGTATAAAAAAAAAACTAAAAAAAAACTGAGACACTGGTGTGTCTCTCAACCACACTGAGAGACACTGAGTGTGGTTGTGTGTCTCTCTCAGTGTGGTTGTGTCTCTCTCAGTGTGGTTGTGTCTCTCTCAGTGTGGTTGTGTCTCTCTCTCAGTGTGGTTGTGTCTCTCTCAGTGTGGTTGTGTCTCTCTCTCAGTGTGGTTGTGTCTCTCTCTCAGTGTGGTTGTGTCTCTCTCAGTGTGGTTGTGTGTCTCTCTCAGTGTGGTTGTGTCTCTCAGTGTGGTTGTGTCTCTCAGTGTGGTTGTGTCTCTCTCAGTGTGGTTGTGTCTCTCTCAGTGTGGTTGTGTCTCTCAGTGTGGTTGTGTGTCTCTCAGTGTGGTTGTGTGTCTCTCTCAGTGTGGTTGTGTCTCTCAGTGTGGTTGTGTGTCTCTTCAGTGTGGTTGTGTCTCTCTCAGTGTGGTTGTGTGTCTCTCAGTGTGGTTGTGTCTCTCTCTTAGTGTGGTTGTGTCTCTCTCAGTGTGGTTGTGTGTCTCTCAGTGTGGTTGTGTGTCTCTCTCAGTGTGGTTGTGTGTCTCTCAGTGTGGTTGTGTGTCTCTCAGTGTGGTTGTGTGTCTCTCTCAGTGTGGTTGTGTGTCTCTCTCAGTGTGGTTGTGTCTCTCTCAGTGTGGTTGTGTCTCTCTCAGTGTGGTTGTGTCTCTCTGTGTTGTGTCTCTCAGTGTGGTTGTGTGTCTCTCAGTGTGGTTGTGTCTCTCTCAGTGTGGTTGTGTCTCTCAGTGTGGTTGTGTCTCTCTCAGTGTGGTTGTGTGTCTCTTTCAGTGTGGTTGTGTCTCTCAGTGTGGTTGTGTGTCTCTCAGTGTGGTTGTGTTCTCTCTCAGTGTGGTTGTGTGTCTCTCAGTGTGGTTGTGTGTCTCTCTCAGTGTGGTTGTGTGTCTCTCAGTGTGTGTGTGTGTCTGTGTGTGGTGTGTGTCTCTCAGTGTGGTTGTGTCTCTCAGTGTGGTTGTGTCTCTCTCAGTGTGGTTGTGTGTCTCTCTCAGTGTGGTTGTGTCTCTCAGTGTGGTTGTGTCTCTCTCAGTGTGGTTGTGCCTCTCAGTGTGGTTGTGTGTCTCTCTCAGTGTGGTTGTGTCTCTCTCTCAGTGTGGTTGTGTGTCTCTCAGTGTGGTTGTGTGTCTCTCTCAGTGTGGTTGTGTGTCTCTCAGTGTGGTTGTGTCTCTCTCAGTGTGGTTGTGTGTCTCTCTCAGTGTGGTTGTGTCTCTCAGTGTGGTTGTGTGTCTCTTTCAGTGTGGTTGTGTCTCTCTCAGTGTGGTTGTGTGTCTCTCTCAGTGTGGTTGTGTCTCTCAGTGTGGTTGTGTGTCTCTCTCAGTGTGGTTGTGTCTCTCAGTGTGGTTGTGTGTGTTGTTGTGTGTCTCTCAGTGTGGTTGTGTGTCTCTCTCTCAGTGTGGTTGTGTGTCTCTCTGTGGTGGTGTGTGTGTCTCTCTCAGTGTGGTTGTGTGTCTCTCTCAGTGTGGTTGTGTGTCTCTCAGTGTGGTTGTGTCTCTCTCAGTGTGGTTGTGTCTCTCTCAGTGTGGTTGTGTCTCTCAGTGTAGTTGTGTCTCTCTCTCAGTGTGGTTGTGTCTCTCAGTGTGGTTGTGTGTCTCTCAGTGTGGTTGTGTGTCTCTCAGTGTGGTTGTGTGTCTCTCTCAGTGTGGTTGTGTCTCTCAGTGTGTTTGTGTGTCTCTCTCAGTGTGGTTGTGTGTCTCAGTGTGGTGTGTGTCTCTCTCAGTGTGGTTGTGTCTCTCTCTCAGTGTGGTTGTGTCTCTCAGTGTGGTTGTGTGTCTCTCAGTGTGGTTGTGTCTCTCTCAGTGTGTTGTGTCTCAGTGTGTTGTGTCTCTCTCAGTGTGGTTGTGTCTCTCAGTGTGGTTGTGTGTCTCTCTCAGTGTGGTTGTGTCTCTCAGTGTGGTTGTGTCTCTCTCTCAGTGTGTTGTGTGTCTCTCTCAGTGTGGTTGTGTGTCTCTCAGTGTGGTGTGTGGTTGTGTGTCTCTCTCAGTGTGGTTGTGTCTCTCAGTGTGGTTGTGTGTCTCTCTCAGTGTGGTTGTGTGTCTCTCAGTGTGGTTGTGTCTCTCTCAGTGTGGTTGTGTCTCTCTCAGTGTGGTTGTGTGTCTCTCTCAGTGTGGTTGGTGTCTCTCTCAGTGTGGTTGTGTGTCTCTCAGTGTGGTTGTGTCTCTCTCAGTGTGGTTGTGTCTCTCAGTGTGGTTGTGTGTCTCTCTCAGTGTGGTTGTGTGTCTCTCAGTGTGGTTGTGTGTCTCTCAGTCAGTGTGTTGTGTGTGTGTCTCTCAGTGTGGTTGTGTGTCTCTCTCTCTCTCAGTGTGGTTGTGTGTGTCTCTCAGTGTGGTTGTGTGTCTCTCTCAGTGTGGTTGTGTGTCTCTCAGTGTGGTTGTGTGTCTCTCTCAGTGTGGTTGTGTCTCTCTCAGTGTGTGTTGTGTCTCTCTCAGTGTGGTTGTGTCTCTCTCAGTGTGGTTGTGTCTCTCAGTGTGGTTGTGTGTCTCTCTCAGTGTGT